ATTTTGTATTTTTCTTGTGAAAAAAAATCGCTTTTCTCATTTTAACGACTGGACCACTTGCATCGAAATTTTAAAGATTGTTGTTGGCACAAGAAGGCTATTACTTCTATTTATTTCAAAAATTTCTGTGGTATCTATGGGATTCGTTTTTCACTTCAAATTTATACCCCTACTTACAAAACCATGAACATGTCCCGATTAATTGTGATATTTAAAGTACACTAATACTAAAATATAATCTTGCTGGCATATTGTAACAAAAATTGTATATACCGTAATTCATACGATCGTTTGTAATTTATGGCGTTCTACTAGCAGTTCTTGACAATAGCGGGCAAAGAGAATAGTACCTCGGAAATACCTGTTAAGGTTGCACTAATAAAAACCTAATTTATATGACCTGAAACATAGGAGATGATGTATCGCGTTTCTTATACAAACACACCTACATGTTACAAAAACACAATCTAGCAGTTCAGAGGAAATGTGATAACCCCTAGACACGGATTATATCGTGTCTCAGTATTTTTTGGGGTTGTCAATACACAATTTTCTTCATTGGAAAAAGAGTTGCAATACGACTGAATCCATTCAAGTATCAAGTAAATATATGAATATATACAGGTTTCCTATATCAACGAGCAATCGGGTCAATTATTTCCGGGTCGAAAATTTTACTTCTGATTTATAAACATCACGAAATAATATATAAGCATAATTTATTCATTTCAATTATGAAAATATCAATCTATGCTTCCTAGGTTTTTCGTTGGAAATTTATTGATATCTCCGTTTTCTGTAATTCCATCCACCAAAGACACTAATCTGCAAGTGCAATAACATTTTAGATATAATCCTGCGCGGAATCTTTAATGCTATTAGATTAAAATTTAGTCTTTCAAAAACGCCTGGATGCGAAACTCATCCGTTCCTAACCTCGTGAACTAGTCATGCCAAAAAATGCTCACGGCATAACTGCACTAAGCCGGAGGTGCCAATTGAAATGTTTCCAAACAAATAAAAATTCAAAAAAGAAATGTGATCAAAATTTGGAGTATGAATTAGTTCAATCCACAGTCCTATTTTGCACCCGTCTTGAAGAATTATACGCAGCTACTTGTAACACAACCAAAATGATAAAATAGGAACGAGATTTTTAGAAAACGAACTGTATTCATCTATCTCCACAAATGAGTAAAACGTTGCTATCAGCATAGAAACTTGAAGACCAACGATAAAACTAATTTAGTATGAAACGGATGCACTATACATGTGAGACAGAATAAGGGTGAAATATCATTCGTACTATTAGGGAATAATACCCAATACTAAATATCATCATCATATTATTAAAGAATACTACATTTTCGACACGAGAAACGGCACTGGAACACAGTCAGTGCTGATTCAGATTATTTTCCCGATTGTTTTTTCCTCTTTGTCTCGTTCAGCATCGAGCCCACATCGACGAATTCGAAAACAACTATATAACTGTATGTTAAGCTGTAGCTGTCCCTAAAAAGGGCCCTGGCAGCATTATATGTAAGTTTTTATGGTATTCATATTAAATACTAATTTTCCAATTCTTTGTCTTGTGAATGTTAATTAAGATGTTTTGTAAGTTGCAGTTCCTATAAAAGTTTTTCCTATTAAAAAGTAATAATTTAAATTCAAACAAAATCTTTACCTTTCACCTAGATCAGAGGTGTCAAACTCGTGTGTTTTTGAGGGCCGCATTTCATTTTGGGAATTGTGCAAAGGGCCGCAAACAGTTTTTGATAATGTATACTTGAAGCATATTTTTAGATGGGTGTAGTTGATGACATATATTGTGATGCAATTGAGTTATGATTGACATTGATTTTTAGGGACTAGATAGTTGTATAATCATAATAATATACAAACACATAAAAATTTTCTGTTCGAAATTGATCTTTAAATTTGTCGTATTGAATGCTGAGCTTATTTTTATAATGTTTACTTATGTTGTATTCTTTTATTGTACTGATAAAAATGTGACAAATTAAACAAAAACAATGTGCTTTAGAATTTTGGGAAATGCAGAAATATGGCAACTCTCATTTTCTTTCAAAAATGTCCTCTTCTTCATGTACTTTGCGTTTCATTTAATCCCTGTAGTTTTTTTTTTTCAAGTATTATTTTGCTAGATTGAAGTTTATCCATAATTGGGTAAAATTGGAAACGAAAATTTTTTTAATTTTTCGAAACTACTTTCAGTAAATTGTCGTTTTCTGTGTTAATAATCAATTTCACTTCAAAAGGTTTGAACAATGTATTACATTTAAATAAAATAAAAAACTTATTTTATCACCCAATTAAACTTAAAAAACAAAATATTATAATTACTGCTAAGCGTTTGAGGGCCACATTAGAAGTTTCCTGGGGCTGCATGCGGCCCCGGTCCGCGAGTTCGACATCCCTGTTATAGATAACCGTGAATCTTGACAGAGATGCGCATACTTTGAATATGCTTGAATTCTACGCACATCTTAATTATTGTTCATGAAGCGAGGATATTTTTCAAAAAATGTTTGATTTTGAGCAATTTCGTGTGTCCTTAGTTCCTCAAAATCATGAACAAAACTCTTGATTTATTGGTCTGTATGTCATTACTCTTAATTGCATGTGTTGTAAATTCATTCATTCATTTCCAGCAATATCAAATTAACGATGTTGTACAATCATATCAATTAACAAGAGAGATATGCTCTAATATATGGACACGTTTACCGATTCCAAGAAAAGCACCAACATTTAAAGACATCAGTTATACCAGTGACTGCAAGCCCCTCTTTTACGAGACAGTTACGAGTTAGTTCAGTATCACATCGCTGGGTTACGGTACCGGAATTGCCCTATCTTTGAAAGTTCCTGTCTTGTGACAGCGTGAATTGAAATTACAAGATGGTTCGGCTCACAACTGTAGTAACTCCAACGATCCGAGTCACTACTGTAATATAACACCAAGTACGGCACTATTCACCATTCCTCAAATCTTAGCAAAGCAAAGATTTCATTACGAACCACCGACGTTCGATGGCACGTGATCAATAGAACATGAAGAGGAGTGCCAGCATATGCTTATGCCCAACAAAAACAAAACAAATCTCACAGAGCCAACAGAAATATTTGAAATAAATAAAAGTAATAGCCTTCTGAAAAAAAAAATTCATTTATAACCACTAAAAATTTTAAAGCAATTGGTCCAGTAATCAAAGAGAAAAGCGACTTTTTAGGTTTTCCACTAGGTGACCAAAATGTGTCAAAAGACATTAACCTAGTATTGAAACGATCTTTATGTGCACCAATGTGTCCAATTATGATTGATCTGATGTCATAGATACATAATTCATTTATTATTACATCATAAAATTATTCACATTTTGGAATAATTGGAAATAATAAAAAATATTGTATTAGCAGAATTAACACCTAAATAACAATTGAATTTCTTTGCTCTTAAAGACAAAAACTACCACACTACTTAAATGAAAATATGTATTGTTGGTGATCATTTCAATACTTTTATGAAGCACGCTTTTCTGTTGTCAACCTTGAATAACATTTAGGTTTCCTCCAGTGCCAGTTATAGACAAGTCCCATACACTTTCAAACTCTCCGAAATACTCAACATCAAAACTACAAACAAAAATCGTGGGATATGTGAAAATTTTAACCCGGAGAACGATTCTTATGGTAAACAGTTGCGGATTTCTGAAGTTACGTTATATCGGAGTATAACATTACGACAATATCTTTCACTCAATAAATAATGCCACTCCTATACGAAGCTGATTTATCGTATATATACTATGTTGATCTTCCCCCTTCATTTTACACAATTGTGAATCTCCCATTTTTGTTTCTTTCATCGATCTATTGTTCAAAAACGAAACCGATTTCAAGATAGAAATGTGATTTGCAGTCATTGAAATTGATCTACCTATCTACATTAACTAAACGCAATTCTTTGAATTAATGGTGAATAATACTTTATGTAGTTAGTGTCAATTCGTAATCCATACATGAATGGCTATCAATTTAGAGTTGATTCATAGCCTACTAAACTTTGACTGACTTTAGTGAATTTACGTTCGTGTTTTAACACTCGCACAGATGGCATAATGTGGTAATGGAGCCTGGGATAAAGTTTCCGGGTAACAAAATTAAATAAAGTAGTGCGTTATTAGTTACACTGATCGAATATGTTGTTTCGGACCATAACTTTTACTACGACGTCCCAAATTTACGCCACTGCAGCTTCACAATCACGCAACTGAACTGTTCACATTGAAGAGGCGAATGCCTAGCATGATCGCGCTACGATTTATACAATTTCATATATGCCAGCTATTCGCGCGTTTATTTCGCAGGGCCCAAAATACACATGAACCGCAAGAAAAAAATCTGCATTGATTGACGTTAACAAAAAACATCATAAATGCAACGGCTTGATTTTGTGAAAATAATAATTTAAAATTCCCGAGTGGTTAATTTGAATATTGTGCTGATGGGTGTAGTATAGAATCACAACAATAACGTTGTACTATTTTTATGTCCCGCGATGTGTGAGGTATGATACCAAACTTTCATATTCGGTGTTCTACATTTCTTTCAGAAATAGGCCCTACACAATCAGAAATAAAAACAAATAAACGAATGTAAACGCAACTGTATTGTAAAATATGCGCCACTATCCTGTTATCACTTGAAAATGTTTCCAAATTCACAGCCAATCGCCCCAAATAGTTGACTAATGAAATGTAAATGTGCTCGCTAGGCCTGACCGGCATGCCTAATCTAAAATTCACACTAAGGAACATCGGTCAATGTGTCAGTCGTCCGGGTTCTGTTTCAAAGAACTCAATCTCGAAAAGAAACATAGCATGGTAATCAACAGGCTACACAATATCCGACAATATTGTATTCTTGAAATATATTTGATACACACACAATTAAGTTCTTGATTACAGGTTGAAGAAAAACTATTGTAAAGAAAACAAATCTAGTTTTCTGTTTACTTAAGAAATATGAGCCTTGGACATTTTCAAGCATAAAAAGCATATTGACTGTTTTCGACAATTCACAAAAAAATTTTCATAGTTCATTGTAGTCGGATTCAAGTAGAAACGTTATGTGGGCGCCGGTACTTCTTACATTTGGTTATTTGTGAATTACGTGATCATTAGATTAGGCGGAAATCGCTAAAAGCGGAATTTGTTATTTTCTTGTTTACTAAATCACTACTTCAGGTTTTTCTTTAGTAGCGTGTCTATTTTTGTTGAAATTAATTTTGCTTTTTTGAAATCTCATAACATATATAAAGATAATATTGATAATAAAATTCCTCGACATATAATACATGGGTTCTGAAGATAAAAATGAATCACATCAGTTTCCATCAAACTTTGTTACCGGATGTCGTCTTTCAAACCAAAAATGATAACTACATGGTTCAATACTTTGACTTCAGCTGAATTATAATCTTGTGATTATCTCAGAGATTTTTCGTTAATACCATAAATTATAATCAAACAATTCAAACGCAAAGATGAAAGTTGACGCATGAAAATAAATCCAAAATGGAATCACTGACATACGAATATTGACAATTACCATATGACCAAATAATATTGGAGTGTTTGTTTGTATCGCAAATTGGCTAATTTAACATCTATGCATAGTTTATGAAGCGGATAATATTCATCTTCAACTTCTCAAATGCATCCAAATGTAAATCGAAAGTTTCCATATTTAGAAATACACTTGGCTAAGAAAGATACACAGTCTGAAGTGCTTTGGCTTAACCAGCTAACAAGTAAGTTATAGTTATTTGAGGAAGCAATGTCCAAAACAATGATTAATGAATAGCATTTTGATAACATTGGTATGCGTACTCCGCGTCAATTCGAGTTAATTTTCCAACGTTTTGTCTTTACTTCTTCGTACTTAGTTTCATCTGAATCTGACTTGATACCACAAGTCTGGTAGGGATTTATATTTTCATAAGTTTTCCTGTTGTTTTCGTCTTTTTTGATTGTCGACATTGGCTCTTCGTAATGTGTGGCATCGTTTTCGTAGCTGTATGGGGACTCTGGTTGAATTTGTTTAGAACTTGATGAAGCGACGCTTGATATGAATGTGGTTTCATATGGACAAATAGCGGGAGCATCATGCGTGGCTGATTTTCTTTCTTCGTTCCTGTTCCTCTTTCTAATTAAATTGAAAATGCTTTGGAAATTTATCAAAAAATCGATTTGTAGCTGATCTTGGCATAGTTTGAAACAAAACAATTCAACACGTAAAAACAGTTCTAATTAGCATAGATATTCAAAAATTTAAACGTTATATTAATTCATACTTTTTAATAATCCAAAGAACAACCAACGCTACAGCAATTGCGATTCCGACAGAAGTTACAGCAGTGACAATCGTTGGGATGGATACTGAAATATTATTTGATGAAGATTATGAAAAGGGCAGAACATTCAACATTAATTTCGTGAATTACTGGTAATATTTTGTATAGAAATTTTTTTGCCTGGTGGAATTTCGCCCGGTGCAATTACGTCTGGTTCAGTCATTGCCGTGTCTTTTGTGAAGTATGATACATTGCTTAATTTCAACAAGACTGCGTTGTTTACTCTTGGAGAAGTAGATATTGTGAAGTAACTGAAATATAATGCACTAGCTAGCAACATAGCTTACATGCGGATTCAGTAGTGCATGTAAAACGAAATATAGGCTCGTCACATGACCCCGTATTACATTTTTTGGCGTTACGGAGTACTTATAGTACTTACGGACAGTTCACAAACTTCTGTATCTTATATCAAAACTTGTCACCAAAGGTTTTAAAACAACGAATTTCCTATTATTCACCTGTATTCTGCACCATCTGCTAGCTTCAAATTATTTCCTTTTATTTCAATGTTGGTGACTGTTTCTCCCATTGTAGTAACCGCATTTATATTAACATTAACAATGCACGAAGATACAGTGTCATCTCCGAGATTTTTTAAAATCGTGCGATTTTGCGCATCGGAAATATCTAACCTTTAAATAAATAAAATTTAATAAAATTTCAGCGTCATATTATTTTTAAAATATATCATTGACGAATATCTTACTTTATTTTAAAACCTTAACATTTTAATTTCATTTTACGTCAAAAATTGTTTGTCCAAAACCTTCTACGTATTTGCAGTAAGTAAAGGATCTCTTTCATCACTCTAGTTCAGGTATATTAGTATATCTTACTTTATTTTAAAACCTTAACATTTTAATTTCATTTTACGTCAAAAATTGTTTGTCCAAAACCTTCTACGTATTTGCAGTAAGTAAAGGATCTCTTTCATCACTCTAGTTCAGGTATATTAGACAATTGTGTGTCATCACAATGTTTTTCTAGTTGTTCTTGTTACAAAAATTTACTAATAAATTCATGTTTGTAATACCTTGACATAGCAAATGCTATATAGGCTTCATTTTCTTTCACACTTGTTTTGGACAGTTTGACAAGATCATCAAGGGTTTTAATCCATTGATGTGAATTATTGTCAGGTTTGTAGACAAGAATGAGAAGTAAACAACTGTTAAACAGTGAAATAAATATTAAAAGAGAAAAATGTTCACAAATTTTTCAATTCATCGGTCTGTAATATAATATGTCTAAGACAATGTTGAATGTTTAAACGTGAATATCTGACCAATTTATAAAAGGTAGTAGATAGCACCAGCATCCATTGAAACGCTGATATAAACGAGTACATCTTGTATGTAAATTTGTAATAATGCTAAGTTGAGGAATTGGATTAGTTCAAACACGCACTGTCATTGCTATTGTACAGAGAAATATATAGTTAACGACATGAACCCGGAACCTAATATTCGTATTTTGCATATTAAGTCGCATATCAGAGATGTATCGGTATCGGCAGTATTGGCCATTTTTTCGATATCGGCAATAGTATCGGTGTCGGCTAGAATAGACCAATTTTTACAATATATCATTTAGAATTCTTTGCAGTATAAGTTAGTACACACAACTTATTTATACATTGGAATCATGAATAGGGATTCGAAGTTGCGTGTTTCGTCCACTCAAGAACAGTGTACATACCTTGATGTTAATTACTGTAATAATTATATACTTGTTAATTATTGGATTATAGATGATAGCGGCAATTCCAATTATCGGCATATCGGTACCGGCAGCTTTGCATTAGTATCGAATCGGTATCGTCAAAAAATGATATTGGCACATCTCTATAGCATATACCTATACGTTCATCATTTTAATGATTTCCGGAATAGTGTTAATTATTAGTACTTACAACCTTACATGAATGATCACTCACCTGATTGGCCAGTTACGTTCTTCTGGGAATGGTATTAGGATGCCGATATCTCCGCTCATATTTGATTTCACGATTGTGGGTGCAACTACAACATCGGGGTCTGAAAATATTAATTGAAGTCTATGATTTATAAATATTAAACTAATTACCGTGAAAAATCTAATTTTAATGAATCCAATTATCGATAAAATACAGTAAAGTAAAATTGTCATTGAGTAACCTGACATTTATTTCCTATATAAATTTTGTTATAATGTTTAACTTATCAAATTATAACAATTTTTTGTTTAAAATTAATAGACTGGTTATTTTTGTAAACTAACAAGAAATATTCATCTAAAATTTAAATTATTTCAAGTCACAATTTGCTGTTACATTTAAAATGGTATTTTTACTGGGCCATGGTTACTTTGAATGTTTTGCTGATGATATATGAAGGCAATATGCGTATTTGAAATATTAACATTCTAAATGTTTAACACTAATTCAAGAAAGCTTAGAAAAAGAAACAAATATGCGGATACAACATAAAAGTAATAAATTTAAAAAATAGTCTGCAAAGACGAGTGACATAGAATTCTGAGATTCTACTGACTAAAACTATGTACATTGTAAAAACCTTGACGTTTATACTATTTCTATTCTAGTGCTTTGTATCAATTACTTCATTTTCTTTTAAATTGTCTGCGATAAAATATTTTACTACTTCAAAGTTATGTTTTATTAATTTACCTTCACAAATAGTTCCATTGTATTCTGGCCGACAAGTGCAATTGTAATATGGCTCTGCAGTCGTATATTGACAGGTGGCCCCATTTTTACAAGGTGATGAATTGCAGGCATCTTAAATTAAGTTACAAATATTTATTGTCATTTAAACTGTCTCAATTGGAATTGATTTTGATTCTAAGATTTCAACGAAATATATTGTTAGTAATCTATGAACAAGTTGCATCCTAAAAGGCAGTGCAAGTCCGTAATAAAATATGATTTTCTGTTGAATTGTAAGAAAGAAAAAATAGAACAATCAAAAAGGTTACACAAACTAATGTAATCTTGTGATCAAGGGTAAAATTGTTCTGTTAAAAAAAGTCAAATTACTTTATTGATATTACACAGACTGAACAAAAATAAAAATGTTAAATTTTTAGTAATTAATATTAATATAATGTGGTTTCTATTTATAGAATGTTTGTGTCATTAAACGTGTTTATTTATACGTGATACACGTGTTGATTGTCATTGGAATAAATATAAAAAAGTCATATTATTTCTGATGTCAACTTATAAAAATATTCATTTTCAATCTATTTATTTCAATTTTATATATGATAAACGAAATAATTTTTTATATGTTTTGTAAAAGCAGTCACAACTTCGTCATACATACCGGTAACCACCAAAGTCAAAGCAACTATTCTTGAGTAGAGTGGGTTGTTGCTCTGAGGGTGAGCTAGAAACTTGTACGAAAAATTAGACGATGGAGCTTCTACAGGTCCAGTGTTGATTGTCAACGTCGTTGAAGGATTGCTGCTACTGATATCGCTGGTGGTAACTGTTTTATATTTGAGGTTGTTCTGATTTATGACATCAACATTAACGTTTCCATCATAGGATTCAATGTTAAATTGAACGTCGATGCTTTCTCCTCTTTTCACACTTCTTGTTTCATTTGTTGCAGAAATTGTTATAAGATCTGTAGAACATATTTGACAATTCGTTAATCATTACCTTTGCTTTATCTTTATCATTCCCTTTGCTTTATCTAAATATTACTTTAGTTTAAAATAATCACGATATTTTTTTTATAAATAATCCAAATGTGAAAGAAAAATTGTGTGATTAAATATCACTTCCACATCATTACTACTTCAGACTAACTAAATTTAATTCCCAATCCCCATATATCCTATAGAAGTCAACATATTTATACTTGTTAATGGGAAAGAATATCAATAAGAAATACAATTTTAAAGTTGCGTATTATCATTTTCATTTATAAACCAAAAAAATTAACTTGCCTCTTCCGCATTTTGTTCCGAAATAACCCGCATTGCATGTGCATGTATACCGCGAATTCTTAATCTTGCAGCTTCCCTTGTTTAAGCACACATCACTACCGCAGTTGTCAGATATCACACCTGCGGAAGACCAAAATTGTGGGATTGCTAACTTCAAATGTTCAGGGATATTTCACGACCCTGGCACAATATCAATTGCATATTAATATTGCATACTCCTTTACAGTATCTGCTGATATCCCCACTAATATAGGATTCTCAAGAAATATCAATTATTTTTGTCTTTCTTCTCGAGAACTCAGAAAAAGAATATTTTAGAACAAGTTTTATAATCATTGTACAGCATAATTTAATTTTAAAAAAGTAGCTTTATCTGGGATATTGATACATCGAATAATATACATATACATTATTAATATATTAGAATAGTATATTCAATATAATATGTATTGTACGTTCCGTAATGCTATTTTTATCCATATTGTTAGATATACAGCAATATTTATTACAATAATTTCATTTATCTTTGTTCTTGCAGAAACATTAAAATTAGAAAAAGCATTCATTCTGGACTGATATTTACATCGCTATATAATTTTCCTTTTGATTCGAGTTAATTCATACTAAAATGTGACTCGGATTTGCGCAATACAATTTGAAAACTCACTCTTCTGACAGATGTACCCTGCTTCTGCTGCACAACTCATATCAACCCATTTATAATTTGAATCGGCAAACTTCATCAAACAATTTTCTTGCGTTCCCCCATTTGGCTCACTGTCCCAAGTCCACCTCATCCTAGAATCGAAAATTTATGCATAATGCAAAATGAAATAAAAAAATTATTTTAATGTAATAATTTAAGTATATAAGTTGAAAGATACGTTTGCCTTCTAAATTTATTAATAAATTCCAATCCATCACAAAGTTTACAGTTTTCCTATAAAATATAATTCAATGTTCACTCTGAACTGAAATATTGCGCATAAAGTAAGTACGTTTTAAATCCTAACAATTTGTTTCATATTATTTCCGGCTTTGTATTTAATAGAATGGTATTCATTTTAAAGCATTGATAATGTGAAAAGAAAAAAGACGCCAACACTGAAAAGCCTTTTACTTTATTGTGCATTTTATCTACAAATTTCGTGATATGTTTGAAGTAATGAATAAACTAATCACCAATTTGGGTCAGTTTTACTGATAGCTGTGTCATCTCCCCATTTCCAAATTCCTTCTGTCTCTGAGTCACTTCCACTTGTCCAAAGTTTTTTTGTACCACTAAAAATTAATTTAGAAATCAATTTACACGATTCGGGTAGCTGTACATCAGGGGGCCAGACCCGGCCCGCGAGTAAATGAATTCGGCCCGCCACGCTTCACTGAATTATTGTAACAAAAAGGCTGTTTTGATGATTATATTCTTTACGTAACAGGATTTATTGTGAGACACGTGTAAACCAAATAATTTGATCGGACCCGCTATCTGTTTCGATCTAACTTGGCAAATAAAAATTTCAGACCCCCCCCCCTCTTTGAATATTTCTGGCAACGCCCCTGTGCAATGCCATCAAGAAATAAATGTATATTTTATTCGAGCGATGTATCACTGCTTTCTTGAAATAAAAAATATCTTCTTAGAGAAAAACTCTATCCGAATTTGACAAACCATGAAATAAAATTTACATCGATGTTTGGATGTACATATGCATGCGAACAATTATTTTCGAAAATGAACCATTACAAAGAATAAGCTGAGAACTCGGATTTGGTGTCCCATTTAGAGAATGTTTTCCATTTAGTGATGTCGAAAACGTATCAAGCGTGATGCAACAAAAAGTATCACATTAAATGTCATTTGTAAATTTTTTTTCAAGTAAGACGACTAAATTGAGTTCAAGAGTTGTCGCAGTCTTCGCGCGCTGCTTAAAATTTCAAATTGTGATTCATCGGTCATCCGTTCGGTTTTCAATTTCTAAAAATATGTACGGCCCGCCGGGACTTAACGCAACCCTTAATTTTAGGGCCGTGAGTGACAAAAGGTTGCCGCCCCCTGCTGTATATGGTCAGGCTTCAATAGATTATGTTCAAGCTACATTTTGCATTAACAACAAACATCGAAATAATAATTCAGATTGCATTGACGTAAGCCTACAAACATATTTTATCATTTCCTGCAAAGTACGAAAAATCAGACCTGTCGTTCTGTAACTATGAGAACATAAATTATTCTATGCAACATAAAATATTAGATCTGTATTTATAATTTTGAAAGAGAATGAATTAGCATGACATAAACACGAGGTTTGGATTTGTGCCCAAGATTTGAAGTGGGTTAGGGTTTAAAAATAAAGAATGTTTTCAAAAAGACTGCTATTACTTGAATCATAACTAATAATTTTCCTTACAATAATACTCACACTTGAGATAGTTTTGTCGTCAACAATGTATCTAATTCATCAGTATTAATTGAAACTAAGCTTTTTCCAATTGCAGTGCAAGCTGATTTCGCATCGGAAAATGACTTTTCAGGATTGCTAATTATTGTCAAGGCCAAATTTCTGTTACCGTAGAAGAACCAGGTTAAGTCTGAACACAAAAATCAATCTTAAACAATGTACCTCAAAAATGAATTAAAAAAAAACAGTATTAATAATACTAGCGTTTACTCTGGCGATCACTCCACTTTCTTTCAAATTAATTTTAATACATATATATTTTATACTCACCTGATTGGCATACATATCGCAGACCGGCTTTACAGTCAATGTTATACCATTTTCCATCTAAAGTTCTGGAAGCTCCGCAGTAGTTATTATTGCTGCGAACAGTTCGGGGATAATTGGTGGCCCTGACGAAGTAAAGCAGAAAAGAATGACGAAATCATTATTTTTGCTCAATGGAATTTTTTATCTTTTCACTCGCACACTCGCATGCAGTTTGCAACTTCAAGAATAACTATTTCAATATATTCACTGCCTCGTCACAAATTTAAAAAAGATATTAGTGGAAACAGATATGTCAATGTTATTTCACAAAAACCAATTAGCGACCATTCTTCGTTAAAACCT